GGGGGAAGTAGGTATGCTTGAAGTAGCTGTGAAAGAACATACAGAATTAGGGATGAAAACAACTTCCCAGGCTTGCCTAGACAAACCTTTCCAAATCTCATGAAATCTGGGGGCCATAGAGACCAAACAGGGCCTTAGATTATTTTTGAAGCATCATTACCACCTCAGTATGTACTTTGGAAAACAGAGAATCTGATCCTTCACCCTATTACTTTAGTATAAATGAAGTGACTGCAGCAGAACCAATACTTGTGCAGTGGGGAAACCGCTCCTCTGAGAAGCAATACTCATTATTATTACTCGGATGGCTGAGGAGGAAGAGAAGTATCTCACCATGAATTTGATGTGTTTTGTTTAATATTTGTCATAAAGTTTTCACTTTGCAAAACTTCTGTGTTAATTAGGGAAAAAAGATATTTTTAAAAAATTAACTTCTGCCAATGAAAATATAATTCTTTATCAGATAAAAAAACTTCACAGAGTAGCTCTGGACATTGTCAGAATAAAGTTACAGTCAAAACTACGTAAGTTAAACAACTGTAGATTATTCCATCTGGAAAGATCTGAAAGTCTAATGTACTTATGTCATATTTATTTCATTCCTACATTTTGGTCATTTTTAATAAAGAAAATGCGCTAGTGAATTTCAAAGCTTTAGTCATTGTGTCTCATTCTTTGAATTACAATGTTTAGGTTATGAATAAATCAAGAGTCACAAAAAGCATTTTAAGTATAACTAAGGAAGTCAAGGGAACATTTGTATAGGTTTAATATTTTCGAGGAAAAGGAATCAATCCAGTTAATCTCCATTATTTTACAAAATCTAACTTTGTGCCACCTGAAAGCTGACAATCTTCTCAAAGTTTTAGTAATCTGGAAATATGGAACAATTTTTAGACTTCATGTAAGAATTACAGCTTGTTTCTAGCTTCTTCCCTGACCAGAGACCACTGGACCAAGCACTTGCTCCTTTTTATCTGTCTGAAGAGCACTTGTGTAGCTATAAAGTGCCCTCCTTTTGGTAACTAGACCCTTTACTAGGAAACCAGAGATGATTTTTGAAGTATTCTGAACACAGGGATTTAAACATTCACTTTGCCGCACTGTATTCATACTTTTAACATTTTCAAGGTTGAGCATAGCAATGCTGCTGTAGATTGAGTTTGTGTTCAACCTACAAGAATGGCCTACTTTGCTAGGTGGTCTACATCTCACCTATAATACTATGTCACATAAAGCCTACTAATGCAAAGTCTAGCGTGATTTATTGTTATTTAACTTTATAAAGTAACTGTGTGGGTGGGTGTGCAGTTTATAGAGCATTGCCCTCTACCTTAAAAAGTAGTTTATAACGGGGAAAGAAAAAAATAGTTAAATGGTTGTAAACACTTATTTTAAAAAAATATATATTTACCAAGTATGTATTTTAAATTTTATTTCTTTTTTCCTGTTTTTAATGCCCTGGAACATTAGAACTCTTTCTTTTTTCCCTTCAATCTTTTTGATGGAAAAGGAATGTTAAACTTTAATTTTATTTTTCCAGTTCCTTCTAGCTTTATTTTTTCTTTTATCACCCCAAAGCATTACAGGCCTCCTCTTGTTTCCTCTACCTATTTAACAGCTGATTGCAGTGGTGACTGACACCTAAGAGAAAAAAAAAGGCAGAGTCTAGCAACTATGCACCTTCTCCCCACTGCTCTCTAGCCCCACATAATTGCTTCTGATATCCAAAATAAAACCAGCCATCAATAGCTGCTGGCCAGCTTAGTCTTCTTTCCTCTCTTCAAATAAATATTGCACCCCCCAACAACTCTGATGTAGCAAGTGCCACAGCTCCCCAGTTTCTAGGAGGGGGAAGTAGGAAGTTTCCTTTCCTCCATCTCCTCCTAAATGTTCATTTTTCACTTGAAAAGCAAGCTAGGGGCTCTGATTATCCGTGCTCCCTGTAGCCAACTTTCTCCTTTTACATATATTTAAACTCATATTTTTCCTCATTTCATTTCCCTAACTCACACATTCATACTAC